CATATATCTGTTACTATGTAAAATATTTAAATGTTAATATTTACTAAAAAGTGTACCTGATTTTAAGGAGTGCCTTACAAAGTATTAGATTATTTCCACAGTTGTTTTTACCTGTGCACACTTCAACACTTGGGCAATGGCCCTTTATTCTTACAGGTCTGAATGAAATAAACAAAAATATATTTCCAGGCCATAAAAAATAAGACCAGAATAATCAAAATTGAAGAAAAAAACACCGAAGTTATTAAAAACAATTTCTGTAATGCTTCACAATTTATTTGCTTATCAGAATATTGATCATAATAGAAATATTTGTATGGCTGTTGATCTAAACAGAAACAAGTGGCCCAATGCCCGGGCCCAAATTGCTCACCTGGTATTAATCTTACACTTGTAATCTTAAAAGTGGACTAAAATACAGCTACAGGCAAAATATTAGTGTTTGATTCAAAAGAATATGTAAAAAGATTTAAACATGTTACACATGTGACCTTGAAAGTCAAACAAGGACATTCAGTTGAACATACTTTATAGCCTTTCATACCAACATGCTTCTGGTGGCCAAATATCATTACCCTCGACCTTTATATAATTCAGAAGTTGTTTAAAGATTTCAACATATTTGACCCCTGTGACCTGGCAAATTGGTGAAGGTTATTCACAAACTTGGTAATACTTCATCCCAGGATGTTACTGGCCAAATATCATCACCCTGGCCCTTTTGGTTATAAAGAAGAAGTCGTTTGTAGTTTTCAACATATTTGACCCCTGTGACCGTGAATATAATTCAAAGTCATTCATTTGAACAAACTTGATGGCCAAATATCAACACCCTAGGCATCTTGGTTATAAAGAATTAGTCGTTTACAGTTTTCAACATGTTTAACCCCTGTGACATTGAATATCCCCCCTTACACTTCATACCTATGATTGGTATTAGTTATCTCCCTTACACATCATACCTATGATTGGTACCAGTTATCTCCCTTACACATCATACCTATGATTGGTATCAGTTATCTCCCTTACACATCATACCTATGATTTGTATCAGTTATCTCCCTTATTACTTTGTGTCATTAATTCCCCTCACTCATCATACTTGTAATTTGTATTTGACTTTTCCCCAAACACATCATACCTGTGATTTGTGATCGAGTTATCTCCCTTGCACGTAATACATGTACTACACATTATACCTGTTATTTGTGTTTGGGTTATGTAATCATTGTCAAGGTATGCCTGAGGTCTTTCAAAGTCAACTCATATCAGATATCTTAGTCTGTGTGTACAATGTACTTCCAGGTCCAACCAAACTATAGATATCTTGCTAAAGAACCCTTTTGCAAGGTTGATGAACATTATTGTAAGGTAGCTTATAGCCTTAAATACTTAAAATACCTACTACAATGCACCATAAAATATGTAACACTTTGTTTAAATTGCTGTAAAGCTAAGCTGCTATATTTGGTGTCTTACTATAAGGTGGCAGTACCCAAATCGGATCGGTACCCAAATCGGATCAATTTTTGCAAAAATACTTCTAAATAAATAAATGTGTCAACAAATCAGTTATAACAATTATGTTGTCTTAGAATAGCTAGCCATGCACCATTTAGTTTTTAAGTTCAAATAGTGCAAGAAAACGTAATTCAAACTCAAATGTCAATGTTTTGATTACGTTTTTAAAAAATGGTGCGTGCGACGACTATTCAATATTTTTTGGACTATAGGAATAAATTCACACTATAGCAATACTTTTCGTGACATAAATTCTAAAGGTCATCATAAAATGTTAATATGCTGACAAAAAAATATTCATTTGAAGCATACGATACTGCAAAATTCAAGCCGTGATCCGATTTGGGCCCTGACATTCGCAAAAACAGGAGACGCTGATTGGTGACTTCAGAGCGTTCTATAAATATCTCAAGTGAGCCCCGGGTGCTAATTTCATTTGAGAACACCCATCGATATTCTATTTTTGATACAACCATAAATGAATATATTTAATAAAATGATGGTTTGGTGATCCGATTTGGGTACTGTCACCTTATAGCCAGGCAGTAATATCTTTACCGACTTTACGGTGGAAAAGAATGATTCCTTCATCTGTTACACCTGTTTGCAGACACAATGTCATATCTGCCAAAAAAAGATGTCACTTAAGCCAGGTTTTAGTGTACAGCACAAGTGTACATTCTCTATGACACCAAAAACAATGATTTTCTGTGCAATACACACTGTAGATGTACTTAGCAAGGATTTACTCTACAAACATCCTCAATATCCAGGGGTTACGCTCACATGCATTCTCTGCACCCTAGAACATGTCATAGCAGAAAGTTAGCTATTTGATTGTTTTCAGGCAGCAAAATACTGACCAATCAACAGACAGATACCTGTCCTTTGAAGATCACAAAGAAGCAACATTCGACTTAAAATCCCATCAATTTTACCATAGCAAACAACATGTACATCAAAAGGTCAAATTAATCTACTTGTTTCATTCACTTGGTGATGCGTACAGATCCTTTGATATGACATATTGCAGGGCTGCACACAACGTAGCATAACCGCTGGAATTTTGAGGATGCTTTACAACCTGATTCACTGTGAGACATTGGTAAACACATAACACATTCCAATGATTTTTCTGTACCACCCAACTGTACATATCAAGGATTTATGTTAAAAAATAAGGATGACTTTTTTCATCTTTATACTACTGCATACTCCCTACAGGTAGCATTATAAATTCATTATCATGTTTTGTCAGTATGAGAATAAAAATAAATAACAAATTTATGAAAAAATAATAACACTTTTTAAGCATAAATGTGGCATACAGAGAAATCTATAAATATCTAAATGTTGTTTTTTTAATATTCACATGAAAATTGTGTTATACAATCTGACCCACATAAAATGTCTATCACTCATCAAATATAAAATATCGGAAAGGAAGACATTAAAATACTGTCAGCATACAATACATGTATATGTACACCTGAACAGTAATGAGCATGATATCGTCATAATACATTTTATAAGGATATTACGATGGCACGTGACAACCCAATTTTATTTCAACTACGGGCTATTTATAGAATTTGAAGTCTAATATAACATTCAAACAGAATTACGAGAAAAACCTAAAATTTTCATGAAATAAACATATATTTGGCAGAATTTATGTTTTTCATTTTGGGTAACCCAAAAAGGAATTTTAAAACTAGAACTGTGAGTCACTGGCATACTTATACCCCCCAGCTCGACCATTGATATCTCAGCCAATCAGAGGCTAAAGTGGCATGGCCTACTTGAATCCAGAAATTGAAGTCTGCCTTTAAATACATGTATAATGTATATTGTATGAAGTGATGATCATCTGTAAGATGTATTAACTTGGTATCTAATTTATATTGTATATGTTGATGATATGGTGCTTCTTTGGAACTCTTGTAATGGAGGAAATCGAGGTAAGACATTCACAAATACACTGTAACACACAACATATAGAGAGTAAGCTCCTGGATTATATAAAGCATCTTGTAAATGGAGTAATCTCATTGTAAATGCTGTTAGCTTAAGTTGAATCACAAATAAAGTAAACAAAATCAATGTTTTCAGTTATTTTTTCTCATTGCACTCTGGGAAAAAAGAAAAGGGAAAAGGGTAATAAATACAGTGTTAGACAGGGTAGTGTGGCTAATAAATACAGTGTTAAAAATTACAATGTAGCAATGTGGGTGATAAATACAGTGTTAGACAGGGTAGTGTGGCTAATAAATACCATATTAGAAATACAAGGTAGCAGTGTGGGTGATAAATACAGTGTTAGAAATACAATGAAGCAGTGTGGGTGATAAATACAGTGTTAGACATAGCAGTGTGGGTGATAAATACAGCATTGGAAATACAATGTAGCAGTTTGGGTGATAAATACAGTGTTAGAAATACAATGGAGCAGTGTGGGTGATAAATACAGTGTTAGACATAGCATTGTGGGTGATAAATACAGTATTGGAAATACAATGTAGCAGTGTGGGTGATAAATACAGTGTTAGACATAGCATTGTGGGTGATAAATACAGCATTGGAAATACAATGTAGCAGTGTGGGTGATAAATACAGTGTTAGAAATACAATGTAGCAGTGTGGGTGATAAATACAGTGTTAGACATAGCAGTGTGGGTGATTTATACAGATACACATATTAAGACCCCTATTTCGTGTTTTATAACATGATAAAACTCTCAAAAGGTGTAATAAACACCCTCGGTGTGATACCATTATGACTCATGAACTATATGTAAACTTTGACCAGGAAAAGAAAATATCATGAAGGCTTGTGAAGTCAAAATTCAGTGTTTTGCCCTGTAAAAACAGAAATATGTTTACATTTGTAATTTTCTTAAATAATAAATGTATTATGGAATAAAAATTGTTCTATACTTGTGATAATTTCGTTACCAATTCATTTATATAACTCTTGCTAACTGACTTAAAATTTGTAAAGAGACTCGGTCAAACCTTGTCTCTTCAAATTTTAATAGATCAACTTGAGTTTGATAATTATGATAACCAACCACCACTACTCAGGGAAACTGGATATAATACGGCACTAGGATAAAAGTGTTTATAAATATAATATTAAATGGGCCCCATAGGTTATTGAATCAACATTTATTAAGACCCTTTGATAATTGAAAACATTATCATTTCTAATATTCCTAAAATCATTTATTATACTAAACACATGTATATTTTGAAATCTCTGCCATTTCACTGGCTGTTAAAAAAAGAAAAAATAATTTACTCAAGTATTCAAAAAAATAACACACTGTAATGATATCACAATAATAGTGCAAACATACATTTCACTGAAATTCTATTAATCTCAACACATATCAAATCACATATCATACCAGTGCTCCAGAATATTTACATGTTGAGCTCATAGTAAAATTACAAAAGTCGGTAGATTTTATCATCAAAATCACTTTGTATAATGGGACTGAATAAAAAAAACACAAATTGACAGACAGTAAAAGGCCAGACAGGCCTGTACTACCTACCTGTTCCTTTTGATATCTGAACTAGACAAGAGGCTGAAAGATTTCTACTTACATAGACTGTGGTTACCCCCTCAGATGATTTATTTACTCAAAGAATTAAAATAATAATCCAAATTAAGGACATTAACAGGAATTGATCTGGTGGATAGTCAATTCTAACAGATATCAACACCCTGACCTGTACACCACAGAGATCCAAATCTCTGTCTCCAGGGGGGGCACACCCTTCCTTTATACAACAGTGATTTTCCTTTGTCCTGGGATGCTTCTTGTCACGTTGTTCAATTGTACATAAGCAGTAGCCTTACAAAATGAGTAACATTTTCCACTTTTGGACCCAGACCCTCTGCCCTCCTAGGGTCCACACTTTTGGACCCAGCCCCTCTGCCCTCCTAGGGTCCACACTTCTGGGCCCAGCCCCTCTGCCCTTCTAGGGTCCATACTTCTGGACCCAGCCCCTCTGCCCTCCTAGGGTCCACACTTTTGGACCCAGCCCCTCTGCCCTCCTAGGGTCCCCACTTCTGGGCCCAGCCCCTCTGCCCTCCTAGGGTCCATACTTCTGGACCCAGCCCCTCTGCCCTCCTAGGGCCCACACTTTTGGACCCAGCTCCTCTGCCCTCCTAGGGTCCACACTTTTGGACCCAGCTCCTCTGCCCTCCTAGGGTCCACACTTTTGGACCCAGCCCCTCTAACCTCCTAGGGTCCACACTTTTCATGTTCACAATGCTGAATTCCCTTGACACATGTAAGAGCCATGTAGTCAAAATGCTTTTAGCAACTTTGGATTGTCATCTTTTAAATGAAGGTCAGACATCTGTGCAGACAGACAATGAACGATGGCACAAGGTCACTGGGCAAGATAATTAAGCTAATAAAAGTTATTGTAACAAATTGTCAAGTGACTGCCTTCGGGATAGCATGAATCATGAGCACTAAGACAAATACTGCTGTAGTTAACCTGTTACTTGTTATCTGACATTTACAGAATAAAACAACAGACAAGCATGTCTGAGGAAAACTATTTGAAGCTAATCTTGTGATGGGTTCTATCACCACTGAAACATATTTTACAAAATTAGAGAGGATATACCTTGTTTACACTCAGTATTAATATTTGAATACAGTCGACTCAATGTTACCCAACTAGTTAACATAAAAAGCAAGGAATATTCTATTGAAACTATTAGCAAAGGACGTTTTTACTGACTCGACAAAACTTGACACCAATAGCACATCAAACAATATTGCACTGAAGTAACAGACCTTGTTGTCAGTGACAGAATTGATCATCAGTGAAAAAACACATGGTCTGTGACAAAACTCCTTGTTAAGCCAAGAAGAGTTTAATTGAAATGATATTTTCAGTTGAAGTTCTTGCCGTTTAGACAATTTGTTGGTAAAGTTGAATGTCCAGGTTGATTGGGATTTCAGCGTACTAAAATAATCTTCTCATGTTCAACATATAGTTCAAAGCTTTTAATATTTATATTTAATAATGCTCACAATCATAACTCCTTTATTTAGTTAAAAAAAATTGAGACAGAACACCCAAAAAAATGTATATATAAGTAACAAACATGATTTGGAGACAAAACCAAAAGTTACATAAAGTCGACCCGCTGTACAATAAAAATCATTTAGCTACAACATGCATCATCTGATGGAGGGCAGGCAGAAATTGGTGATTTACAGATTATTGATCAATGACCAAATCCGGTGTGGATTTCAACATGATTTAACAAATAAAAACAGTGGATGTCAATTAGAAGCTGTGATTCATTCTAGATACACTTTATCAATTTTCTATTTACATCATACAATTCATATTTGCCAATCTTTTAAAACTTCCATGGTGGTTATTCCCTATGCTCATAATAAAAACATAAATAAAATGCTTGTATATACCCCTAGGGAAAAAACGACACGTTAAAATGGCATAATTTAAGTTGTTCTCTCAGATGAAATCTCAAGATCTTAAAATATAGGAATAGTTTAGCAAATTCACTGGTTGGAAAGTTATATTTAAGGGTCCAAAATTGAGTTCCCTCCAAAATAGTGAAAGTTGGCAAGTATACAAATTGAATAGAAAACTTTCAAAAGTCAATAGACAACAAAATACTTAGTATTGAGCCCTCCCTAAATTTCATCTTGAAATGGGGTTCTTCTGAACCGAGATCAAATTATGGAATGATTTGGTTATATTTTGTTTAACGTCCTATTAACAGATAAGGTTGTTTCAGGACACGCCTCCATGTGTGTTGTGTATACATGTGCGTGTGTCGGAGACAGGGTCCATTTTACACTCGCTCTCTGGACTGGGCCCCTAGTAACAGGTAAAGTGTATAAATCTACAATAGTAGCTGTAACATTGAGACAAGATGACACACCAGGACAAAACATCAACACACAAGATTCTGACATGATGATGATATGTATATACAGTAGTTTTAAATAAAATACCAATCATGTTCATCATATGAAATAATACTTTCAGAACCCTAATAACTTACACGTTAAAACACACAAAAACACAATCTTCACTTCCCTACTTGCACAATTTGGTAAGCACTTCATTAAATGTCAACCAATCAGATAACATGTATCCCAATAAGCACTGTGATTGGTCAATAGTATACCCTAGATAACTCAATCATTCAAACATGTGTTTTGTCAACAGTCATGTTGTAAATAGTTGTGTTTTTGAAAATAATTCAGTATGTATATGCCTTACCGTTTATCTCTGTTGTGTGGGACTTGCATCTACTATTCTGTCCTGACTACGTAGATACGGTAACAACAATGAACGCGAGGCTGTGACCATCACAGTGTCAACCAGCCTCATTGTAGCTAGTGGATAACAGATAGCTCTGTATGTAGGTTTGGGATAATTACGGTAATAGATGTATAAAAATGAGGTAATGATTTAGACTCGGACCCTATGGCAGTTAACCCTGGTGTAGGGTACCTACCCTTCATTTCCAAGACTAGAGAACCCTATGGAATTTATCCCTAAAGTAAGGTGAGCCCAAGGGTAAGGATCTGCAGTCAAAAGATCTGTTTCTCCGGACACCTGACCAATCCTCTTTTACCCAAGTGTAAGGAAACTTGGTCAGGTGATCTGTTCCCTCCTCCAGACATGCACAGCTGATCCTGTAGGCTCTGGTGGGGATAACTGGCTGTAAACCCTATATACATAGAGTAAGGGTCAGTTTAGCCCCTTCCTTGATAAATTAATCAGGATCCACAGTAGACCAGCCATCCCCTAGAGCCATGAACCATTTGATTCATGTTTTATTTGATGTCCTCTGAGTGGGTTGAACACCTGATCCTTTCCTTAGGGAAGTACACATAGTTTGATTCTAAACACTTATGTTACCTATCAGCTTCAGACGTAGAATTCCTGGAGGGATCCATCCCACTTTAAATAAACAAGAATACAATAATATGTTACCAATAATATGTTACAGTATAATACAAGTGCAGGTAATTAACTGTTTGTTAAATACATAAGGAATTTACAGATACAGATCATTACAGATTGACTCACCTGTCCGTTAGTTTGCCCTGCCCATTCTGTTGATGACTGTTGTTGGTGTTGGGAGGTTCCATTGTGTTGTTCCACCCTGGAACCAGGATTAGCTGTGAACCCTTCACCACCCACGGGGACGTCTGTGGTTCTGTCTCTCTGGAAGAAATAAGTTTGAACTTTATTTCCTGATTGACATAAACACTTAGAACAATTTACGCATACATAAATCATTCATATACATAGACGCAGAGCATAAATCATATTCATAAACATGCTTTTAATGCATTGTGCTGTATATTGTTTCACTATCGTGGATTGAAACATTAATGATATTTTCAAGGAACAAATCTGTGAGGTTGAAATTTTGTGCAACTCTGTTAATATTTCTAATTAACTTTCAATCAGAAGGCATAAAATATGCAGGTTTACATTTCCTATACTTTTCAGTGGTTATAGGAGCTATACCGTAGTTATAGACTTACGTCACTGATGTGTCGAGCCCATTGTGGATTCCAGAGTCTGGTGTTGTCGTCGTGACTGAGGAAGATGTTCCTGAGGTTGGGGGAGGTGTCTGGGTATTTTCGTTTAGTTCCTTGTTTTGGGAAACTGTGATTTCTGCATATGGGTGGTCCCTGAAACATAAACCAGGAATTAACTATGTAATCACTGTAAGATCATCATAAAAGGCCATACTCAAGTAACCCACCGGGGCTTCAACTACCTGTAGGAACCACTATACTCAAGTAACCCACCAGGGCTTCAATTAGCTGTAGGTTCCACTATACTGAGGCAATCCACCGGGGCTTCAATAAGCTGTAGGTTCAACTATACTCAAGTAACCAATCGGGTCTTCAATAAGCTGTAGGTTCCACTATACTCAAGTAACACAATGGGGCTTCAACTACCAGCAGGGTCCACTATACTCATGTAACCCACCGAGGCTTCAATTACCTGTATGTAGGTTCCACTTTACTGAGGTAACCCACCGGGGCTTCAATTACCTGTAGGTTCAACTATACTCAAGTAACCCACTAGGTGTTCAATAAGCTGTAGGTTCCACTATACTCAAGTAACCCACCAGGGCTTCAATTACCTGTAGGTTCCATTAAACTGAGGAAACCCTCTGGGGCTTCAATTAACTGTAGGTTCAACTATACTGAGGTAACCCACCAGGGCTTCAATTACCTGTAGGTTTAACTATACTCAAGTAACTCACCGGGTCTTCAATTAGCTGTAGATTCTACTATACTCAAGTAACCCACCAGGGCTTCAATTAGCTGTAGGTTCCATTATACTGAGGTAACCCATGGCCACCGGGGCTTCAAGTAGCTGTAGGTTCCACTATACTCAAGTAACCCACCTAGACTTCAATCACCTGTAGGTTCCACTATACTCAAGTAACCCCCCTAGACTTCAATCTCCTGTAGGTTCCACTATGCTCAAGTAACCCACCTAGACTTCAATCACCTGTAGGTTCCACTATTCTCAAGTAACCCACCTAGACTTCAATCTCCTGTAGGTTCCACTACACTCAAGTAACCCACCTAGACTTCAATCTCCTGTAGGTTCCAGTATACTCAAGTAACCCACCTAGACTTCAATCACCTGTAGGTTCCACAATACTGAGGTAACCCACCGGGACTTCAATTAGCTGTAGGTTTCACTATACTCAAGTAACCAACCTAATTTTAGAGTGCTACACATTGCCGTCCCATGATGTATCAGATGGACAGTTACAGGCACGCACAAATAAAGCGAGTACTATATACCCCCAACTTCATTGAAGCGGGGATATAATTACATTTTGGTACCTGTGATGCGTTACTGTAGTCTCTCTCCTTGGTCCAGAATGCTCAAAACCAATTAAGTTAAAATCCATTCAGCTATTCTTGACTAGAAGCTTTTGGCCAGTGACCTAAACATTAAGCATTTGACTGACAGAGGTCAAATTTGAGAGCACTCTGGCAAATAGATTACAAACAGACCTACAAATGGACTCGCTGATTCCAACCCAACCTAAATTAAATGAAGGTATATCCTGAAGAAAAACTGAAGGACTGATCTAGCAGCATTCCTCACCTGTTTTTGTCTGTTCTCTGATGTGTGGATTGCCCTGTGGTCGATTCCTCTGTCTGTATCTGGTGTGGTGCTGTTTGGATTGTTGACACTGTGGGCCCTGGTTGGAGCCCTCCTGGTAGTAGGTCTGCTTTGATGCTGCTGGCTGTACCTTCCCAGGACGGCGCCAAGGTAGCCACTGAACCCTTCACTAACCACGGGGAAACCAGTGGCATTAACTCGCTGGGAACAAAAATTAACAGATATTAGTATCAACCTTATTTCAGTTCTTGTATTATGGAGAGTTGTGTGTTATTGTTTTCTTCAAATGTATGAGTGTTTCCACTTTTCAAAGTGCTGCAGTAGGTGCAGCTTTCCCCAGGTAAATCTATGGGTCAGGTAAGGGAGAACTATTTGTCTTACCTGTTTCTGTCCTCTTCCTTCCTCTCGCCAGAACCAGTCGGGGACACGTCTACCTTCCTATAATAGTAAACCTACATGTCAGGAGACATAACACACCAGATAATCTAAATTGATTTCAATTAAGATTTTTTAAATCAGTATAAAAACAAACCAGAACAACCTATTCACAAACAAATGTACAAGACAATCCTATCACAAACTAATTTACATCTGATGTCTTGGGCAAATACAACTGTATATCCATGAATTTACCAAGAGTAGATTTCACTGCTGTGGATTGGGTAGTCACGGAGGTTCTCTTATTCCATTGGGTGGTGGTGTAGCAGAGTGGATAGTGCACTTACCATGACTGAGTTTTCTCCAGCTACCTGATCTTGTACACATGGTCATTCAAATGGTAACATACTGTCATCTCAATATTAACACTGTTATCCTTCCCTTGTTTATACACCCTCTTTTCCACAATGATATTAATACATACTGATGCCACTGAGGGCCTACAATGTCATGACTTAATACCTTTCCTGTAGAAGAGGGTTGGTATCCGTGGTGATGTTGACTGATGGCAGCATGGAGGTCAAGGTCGTCTGAGATGATGGCAGGTCCGGTTGAGTTGTCGTATCCTTCGAGCTAAACACACAAAGACAATGATAGTGTGAGCTGAACACACAAAGACAATGATAGTGTGAGCTAAACACACAAAGACAATGATAGTGTGAGCTATACACACAAAGACAATGATAATGTGAGCTAAACACACAAAGACAATGATAGTTTGAGCTATTCACACAAAGACAATGATAGTGTGAGCTAAACACACAAAGACAATGATAGTGTGAGCTGACCACATAAAGACAATGATAGTGTGAGCTAAACACAGAAAGACAATGATAGTGTGAGCTAAACATACAAAGACAATGATAGTGTGAGCTGACCACATAAAGACAATGATAGTGTGAGCTAAACGCACAAAGACAATGATAGTGTGAGCTGACCACATAAAGACAATGATAGTGTGAGCTAAACACAGAAAGACAATGATAGTGTGAGCTAAACAAACATAGACAATGATAGTGTGAGCTAAACAAACATAGACAATGATAGTGTGAGCTAAACAAACATAGACAATGATAGTGTGAGCTAAACAAACATAGACAATGATAGTGTGAGCTAAACACGCAAAGACAATGATAGTGTGAGCTGACCACATAAAGACAATGATAGTGTGAGCTATTCACACAAAGACAATGATCGTGTGAGCTAAACAAACAAAGACTATGATAGTGTGAGCTAAACACACAAAGACAATGATAGTGTGAGCTAAAACCACAAAGACAATGATAGTGTGAGCTAAACAAACAAAGACAATGATAGTGTGAGCTAAACACACAAAGACAATGATAGTGTGAGCTGTACCATTAAAATTGTAGCAGTACTTTGGGAGGGGTAGGGCAAATGGTGGCCTTATAGACAGATAAAACAATCCAGTATACCCCTTTACAACTTTGTTGTAGGGGATATAAATAAGTCGTGCCTGAAGTATAAATGACGGCCAAATTCAGCATGTGCAACATGCAATCAGTAGAGTCAACACTAGGTGCATCATTGATGCAGATATTATACATATAGTTCTTATATTAGGTGATATATGGACTAAGCATTTCTTCTTCACCTGCTTCATGGAGGCATGGGTTGACAAAGATGGACACAATGATGGATCCCATTTCTATATCTGCTGCCAACTTCCTTGAGTAAGGGTTTCATAAACATTATCTAAATAAAAAAAAAATCCATTACGCAACAAAAGATAGAACCTCCCCTTCAAAGATGATTTGGTACCTGTTGGTCAGTAGAGGTGACTGGACTGTGTCCGTAGAGGTAAGTTCTGTTTTGTCCATAACGTAGGGGTCCTGTGGAACCCACAAAGCTTCCTGGTCTGCAGATTCCCTACAAAGGTAGCAAGGTCATGTGACAGTCATGTGACAAGCTTTCCACATTCTAGTATGATCATAGCAACAACAAACAAATAAAGAGGACAGCAGATATCTTTGTAAGTTCAAATGTTTACAATTTAGAACACTTTCTATTTTGCTGAAATATGTTTTTGGAGTGGAAATATTAATATATGAGCATATGAACATGTGTAAATTAATATGCCATCTTTTTAATGAAGCAAGTTTTTACCGTAAGAACAGTAAGAACATGAAAAAAGCAGTTATTAAACATAAGAGCGAGTGAAAAAGGTTTTATTTATATTAAAGTAACAGTGGTAAATAGAACCATGTTTAACAAGAGGCCCAGAGGTCCTGTATTGTTCACCTGTACATGTGTAAAGTGATGGGGTGTGCAAGATAATAGTAGAAGTCTCTATTATTTTATTGGTTTAATGGAACAATATCATTGATGTAATGGGACTTATAAATTTTCCCAAAATGATTCAGCGCACATTTGTTGCTTTGTTTTTGTCTTGCAATACTTTTTATTTCCCCAACGTATTTACACAAGTTGACTTATTTGTTTAAGGTAATCAATAAAAGTAAGCTACAGTGAAACCCCACTTACTAGACTCGCATTACCTGAATCCCCCCTGTTCCTTGAAAAGTTTGTTTTGTCCCGGCCGCGTTCTTATATATTCTTTGTAAATTAACCTTGGATTACTTGAACTGACATTGCTCGAATACCCTATGTTCCTCAAACACTGATTTATTCCTGACCAATCAAAACCTTAGTAGTTAACCTATCCATTTGTCCAACAGGTGGTTGCACTGTGTATCACACATACAGCGAGCCATCAATACGCCTGGAGCCATAGACTGCATTCTTCACTCATTCTATTTATACAAGTGGTGGCCAGATGTCAGAAAATTAGAGGATTAATGGCAGATTCATTAAGTTCTTGTACCGTTACCCTGTTGTAGCTGAAATTAACAAGTTTTGTAATATTCATTATTTCCTGACAATATTAATGTTTGACATCCATGTTTAGGGGGAAGTGTTAATTCACTGGCTAGGTAAAACCATATTTTGGCATAGCAATTTGAAGTAGATTCTCAACTATCTTTGATGTTAATTTTGTTATTGATGAACATTATAATCATAGGTATTAAAAAATTTCTTCATTTCAAAATTATCGAAGATGATTTCAGGTTTATTTTTTTGTGTAAAATTAACAAATACGTAGCCGAAAACAGTATGGCGGATTATGTCTACTGGTAAAAACAAGTACGTAATATACATATATTCAACATCTTTATTTTACTCCTTTCTTAATACCAAGTTATGTTTTCATCATTGAGCAATTTCATATCTTCTTAAATATTGTCATCTTGATTAAACTTATTTTTACTTCCATCAACTATCTATCTGCGATATAATTTTGTCATCCAACCTGATCAGACGAACCTTGAATTTGTCGAATACCATGTATTCCTCAAACTTTTAAAATATTCAGACTCTAGGGTTTTTCTGGTCAAACAAATTTGACCTGTGTGGCCTTGAATATAAATAAAGGTTCTTTTAGCAATCTTTGTGAACTGCATGCAAAAAATTACCTTTAGAATACATGTATTATGACTATATGGTTTTTTTTCTTTAGAAGAAGTTGTTGGAAGTTTTTGACATATTTGACACCTGCGACATTGAAAGTAAGTCAAGGCCATTTTATTTTGTAAACGTTTTTGGGTTAAATACCAGAAGGCTACTCGACAAATATCCTGACTCTAGGCCTTTCTGGTCAGCAGTAGAAGTCAGTTGGTGTTTCTGACATATAAGACCACTGGGACTTTAATCCTTTCACCACTGTAGACCATAATGGAGTCATCCTAATAAATGAGTGGTAGAGTCTACTAAAGTTACCTAGGGGTGAAAGGGTTCAAATACGTCATTTATCAGTTCTTCAGAAAATAAATTGGATTCGAGCCATGTGAGCTAAAACGGGGTGAAGCTTGAGTGTTGATTGAAAAGGGATGGAGCTTGAGTGTCGATTGAAAAGGGATGGAGCTTGAATGTCGATTGAAAAGGGGTGGAGCTTGAGTGTCAATTGAAAAGGGGTGGAACTTGAGTGTCGATTGACAGAGGGTGGAGCTTGATTGTTGAATGAAAGGGGTGGAGCTTGAGTGTCGATTGAAAAGGGGTGGAGCTTGAGTGTCGATTGAAAAGGGGTGGAGCTTGAGTGTCGATTGACTAGGGGTGGAGCTTGAGTGTTGATTGAAAAGGGGTGGAGCTTGAGTGTCGATTGACAGAGGATGGAGCTTGTTGACAGACGGTGTATCTAAAGTGTTTGATAGAGATGAGACTTAGACAGGGGGTGGAGCTTAAGTGAAGTTGATTGACAAGAGACAACACTTGAGTGTCAATGACTATCATCTAATCTAAAATTGGACTACAGTTGCATAACATAATTACAAAGAAAAGCTGTGGGTTTTTTTTACAGAACATCTCATGATCAACTAGCAGTGTGACAGTCCTAAGAAATCATGCAGAAAGACCAGCACAAACATATAGCGCTATGATAATATATTTTCATCTCTGGTGTACATATTTGATAAAGACCCATTCATCTGCTTTCAAAGTGGCAACACATATCATCACATAGGCATACAAATGTAAAATTTATCTCATGCCGTAAATATCAAAATGTTTTTACAATAAGTAGAGCATTGTGGGAACAGATTCCAGCATAAAGCTTACAAATTAGTACAAAACAAAAGGCCAAGAGGGCCTGTGTTGCTAATTTTGTACTCATGGCCAAATATTCTCATTTAGAGTAGTATTGAATTTTCCCCTGTTTTGGCCTCCCTGTCTTTTTATCATCTTGTCTGAACTGATGGCCAATCAATACAATAAAATCAAACATGATCATATGATAGTTAACGGGGACAACTGAAGGTGTCCCAAGAAACATTTAAAAAATACTAAATACTGGTTTCCTTGAACAAGAGGCCCAATGGGCCTGCATCGCTCACCTGGTATAAAACTCACACTTGTAACCTTAAAAGTGATCTAAAATAAAGCTACAGGCAAAATATCAGTATTTGTGATTAAAATTCATTTAAAAGACCCTGTTAATTTTTTTTAAAACATTTCACCACTGTGATTGAAAGTCGAACAAAGTCATTACATTGTATAGCCTTTCATCTCGGGATGCAACTTGCAAAGTATAAACATACTGGGACCCATGGTTATTCATAAGAGGTTGTTTAAAGATTTTAAACAAATTTGACCCCTGTGACCTTGAATATAAGTCAAAGTCATTCACTTTAACAAACATAGTAGTCCTTGATCCCAGCATATGCTACTAACTAAATATCAACATCCTGAGCCTTTTGCTTATTCAGAACAAGTTGTTGAAATATTTTAAACATATTTGCTCCTTGTGACCTTGAATATGATTCAAGGTCATACATTTAAACAAACTTGGTAGCCCTTGATC